AAAAGAAGCAAAGCTTGTACCTCATCATCAAACATCAACAACATAACCAATATACTCAGACAACGGCCTAACACTGGGTTTAGACACCCATGTTTACTGTCATGCAACAAAAGAGCCTCAGAATTGATCCTCGACAAAAACACATAATTCTTACCCGTTCAGGTACCCCACGGTACCCTTAACGGTAGTGGGTACAACCGCATGGTACCTGGGTACCGTCCCACAGTACGTGGGTACCGTCTATAGCAGCTACTGTCCTCACCCGCTAGGCATGTCATGATAGCCTCTACCGACTTAGTGGTAGGGCTTACCATCCGTGCGGTACTATTTGGTGACAAGTACCGGAAGAGAGAAGGGAAAACAGAGACGGTGGATGTAACGCCCCAAAATATACCCTAAAATTTATTGAATTAAATATTCAATTAAACAAAATTTGTTTTGATTAAAATAAATTGTTGTTGGGCTTTGGGCTCAAATAAAATATATATTGATATCCAATAAACATAATTGGGATAAATCTCATAGAGATAAATCCAACATGTTGATTTATTGTATGATCTTGATTGGGAACCTGAGTACAGACCCAAATTAAGAATAAATGAAGAAATTGTTTATAATGTGAACTTTGAAATGATTTATTGAAATAAATCATGGAAATAAATAATATGAATTAAATGTGAGAACCTTTTTGAATAAAGGTCAATTAAACCAATTTTGACTCTGTCAAAGTCAACCACTCAAAAATATGATGTCGGAAAAAGTATAACGAATAAATATAAAAATTATATCGTTAGATAGAGTTTAACTGTCTGATCGCAACGGTGCAATCGGATTTCAATTCGGAGAAAGTTGGACCAAAAAGTGTTCCCCGACTGGGACCAAATTAGTCCCAATCAGGGACTTGCGTTTGGAATTGAAGAAATATCGCAGCCCCCTCCACTGAGACGCCGAAACAGGAACGGATACATCATCACCTTGGCCTCTTCCTCCATTCTTTTACTATATAAGAAACCCAACTTCACCATTTCTTCACCATTCTTCATCAAATTCATTCTGAGAGATAGCCTTGAGTGTGGAGAACGTAGTGGTGCTGTCAATTTGTTGAGAGGTCGCCGGAACAAGACGTGGTGTTCGCCGGAAGTTTCACCGGAAAATATTCAAAACCTTCATTTACCTTCGAGGTAAGCCTGTAGATATATCTAGTGATTAGAATGTTCGTATAGATCGTTTTTACGTTCATAAACGGTCGTTAGGTTGAGTTTTATGTTTGACATGTTTGAAGAAACCAAGAATCATAAACCAAGAAATTGTTGTTAAAACTACAAATTAATGACTCTAAAATGATCCGTGAACATTGGGGAACATTCCTATATAATTTAATTGAAGTTTGGTAATTAAAAATGATAATGTTAAAAATTGAACAGAGGAAGAAGATGATGAAAAGTGGCCGAAAATCGATTATTTCCTTCCTAATAATCGATTAAAAATTTGTTCAGATAGTCAGTATATTTAAAAAATTATAATAATCAATTATTTTAATCATAAAAATCGATTTAACGTTATTAATCGATTATTTTAATTATAAAAATCAATTATTATGAATTAATTGATTATTTAAATTGTAAAAATCGATTATTATGAATTAAAAGATTATTTAAATTGTAAAAATCGATTTTTTATGAATTAATCAATTATGTATATTGTAAAAATCGATTAAAATTAATTAATTTATTATTTAAATTGTAAAAATCTATTTTTAGTAATTAATGGATTATTTAAAATATAAAAATCGATTTTTAGCAATTAATTGATTATTTAAAATATAAAAATCGATTTTTAGCAATTAATTGATTATTTAAAATATTTTTAGCAATTAATTGATTATTTAAAATATAAAAATCGATTTTTAGCAATTAATTGATTATTTAAAATATAAAAATCGATTTTTAGCTATTAATGGATTATTTTAAATATAAAAATCGATTTTTAGGTATTAATTGATTATTTTTAAAAATAAAAATCGATTTTTCTCAAGTCGAGATCCTGTTCCGAAAATATTCGGAAAATATATGCTCTAAAATCCACCAATTGATTATGATCATTGGAAAAATGATGTTTTTAACAAATAAAAATGTTATGTGATGCATGACGGTAAGTTAGGGTGTTAACACTCGAAGCTAGGCCGCTAATTATTATTGAATATTATGTTGATTGATGATTATGGTAATGATTATTGTTTGATTATTATGATGATTGAATCTTGATGAATATTCTGATTAAAAATGATAATTGTGAATGATTAAATCATAATGAATATATTGATGATTGTGAAAATAAAATGTATTGTTAAGGGTATCTAGAAGACTTCTAAGATATACCCATATTAATGTTGATTTGAAAGGTATCTAGAAGACCTCTAAGATATACCTATTTAAGTTAGGCCTTGCGGGTATGAACCCCGGTGGCTAGGGTTAAAACGTACGTACGGGATCCAAGAACCAAACTTGAGTACCTACTCATTTGGGGATACCACCCACCCAACAGTGAACACTACGCTGTCGGTTTTTGGTTGGCCTTAAGTGAAGGTAATTTTAAGATTTTCAAAACCCTTTTATCTTAAACTAGGCCTAGCTTAAGGATTATTTAGGAATATTTTATACTGGAATATAGTTTAATTATTTAAACTAGAATTCGTTTAAGGGTTGACAAATATTAAAGTGATTGGCCTTAGACTAAGAATAGTTTAAGGATATTGTTGAATATTGAATATGAGTAAATATTGAATGATGAATATTGAATTGAATATTGCAATTATTATGAATGACTGATGAACATTGAATGTGAATATAAATGTTGAATAATGCATGATGAATAATTTTTAATAATTATTGATTATCTGAACTGAACATTATGTGCATGATATCAAATGATTTGATTATGAATTTAGATTCAGTTTATATGGATGTTCGATGCATTAGATATGCTTACTCAGCTTCAACGCTGAGCGTGTAGTATGTTTTATTTGCTACACGCAGGTTAATGAAGTGACGTGATCCCGGAGGCAGACGGAGGCGAGATTGTCGGAATGGATGTGATGGTTTGAATTAAAGAACATAAATAAATTGTGTTTGTGATTATGATTGTTAAACTTCCGCAATATTGAAAACTCTGTACTGTTTATATTATGAAAAATATTATTGTGATAAATAAAAGTGTTTGAAATGTTTTAAATTTTTACGATTACCAAGTTAATACTTTAATCTGAAAGGGGCTGCAGACCTGGACAGATTAGGGTGTTACAGTTTGGTATCGGAGCAAATGGTTTTAAACCCGATCTTCGGATCGAAACTTGATTTAAAAAATAAATATTCAATCACATCCACGACTCTCGCATCCCTTTGCTCCAGGAAAGGTATGAGAAATTACTTGGTAAATATTTAGTCTGTTAGAATTCTCATTGAATAATAATTGATTAGTACTGAAATCATATCGAGCATAGACTCTAATAGAACTTTCGTACTTGGTGAAGAGACGAAAGAATAAATAAAAAAAATTATGACTCCCTCATACGTTATCAACATACTTATCGCATCGCGAATTACGAAACTGATCATCCTTGTAAAGTCGCTTAGAAGTGAGACGACTATGAAGAAACAATTAATGTTGAATAACATCTGTGTAGCTACTATCAAAGATCCTCATGTGGACTGAAGACGATTGGATCACTAATTCAAACACGAACGTTTAGAATCCATAAACTCTTTTGTCTAAAATGGTCCCATTCTGATGTCTAACTCATTACGACGCAAATATGCGATTATATCATACGAATCGAAATCGTTCGTTATGCAACAATTCCTTGCAAAACCTCGTCAAAATACCATACAAGGAAATTGATGTTATCCTTACATTGGCTGACTGAACATTGTAGCTGTTGACAACTTGTGATGAAGAATTCCTCAACTGAAGACCGATGATGGTAAACTCATAGAGGTGAAAGCAAATCTGATATCTAAACCAACTGAGTTCATCTCGAATATATATATATATATATATATATATATATATATATATATATATATATATATATATATATATTATATATATATATATATATATATATATATATATATATATATATATATATATATATATATATATATATATATATATATATATATATATATATATATATATATATGAAAACATCTCAGCCATAACAAGTGTGAAGTCTACGCGAAAAGAAACATCTGAACTGAAGTAACGTACCGAAAGTATGTCACCTCTCTGATATGAATTTCCTAATATTTCACCGTTCCGAGAAATTGAGTTCTCTGTCAATCTTGATCCTAGAAAGGACCAATATTCGTAACTCTGTATTGATCGTGTTTCCATCAATGACTTCCTGACAAAGAATCACCTCATCAAGTGTTTCCTCCTTGGGAGAATACCTATTTTGTTCACACGCGAATCAATGAGACTCTATATCAACTACTGTCAATTGAACAATTCATTCTCCTTTACCTCGTATCATGACTTATTTGATCAGCTTAGAGAATCTATTGTATTCTCTAAGATTGACTTACGGTCAGGATACCCACAAATCCCTATCAAGAAACTTGAACAAACTGACGACCAAGAATCGCTGTCCTTTACAATGAACTGACGAGTTGTTCGATCAAATTCAAGGAACCCGTTTGTTAGAAACTATAAACAGCTCGACCTTGTTATAATAACTTAATTGCTTATCGTCGAAAACATTAGTGAAATAAAGTGATGCTGACGAGGCAAATAGTTAAGAAAATTGACTCGTTCGTATACGCTATTAACGTGAAAGATCGCAATGTGGAGCAATACAAAACAAGATGTGAAACAGTGACACCAAGAGTGAAAGACTGAAGAATGAAGAAAATATAGCTCGCACTGGTCATACAGCCTAGAATAATATTTATGGAAAATATCATTTCAACATACAACTTGGATCATATGAGGAATGTTACAAATGCAATTCTAAGTCTAATCTCCCAGGATTCACAAACTCATCATAACTAACCCAGGTCCCGGGAAAGCTTTAGCAAACTCTAGTTTGTCTAAAAGCTCGTCAACAGAGAAAGAAGAAATAAAAAAATTTCCTCTAACTGGAAGCCATGAAGTTCTGCCTCACCGCATCGTCTAAGAATTTGAGAAGGTTATTGAAATAACCGTCAATGTTTAAAAGACCAATGGGTCTATTGTGTAACCCTTCAGAAGCCCACGAGATCAAGGTGAACAAACCTTCCATGGTGTCAACTCCTCCGGGAAGAACAATGAAAGCTTCCACGGCATGATTCATCTCAAAATATTGGTAGTAATTGCTAGAAACTGTGTGCTCTACGCCATATGTAGGTCCGTAGACCCGTCGTGTTGCTAGGTACTCAGGAATGAAACCTCTAACGAGACCACCATTGTTGAAGACTATTGAAGCAACAGCTCCTTGTAGGCCAACGTTGCCTCCTCCATAAGCAAGACTAATTCTTCGCCTTATCAATTCTCTTCCTAAATCTACTACAGTAGCCATAAACTTTGGATTTTTACCAAAAGAATGACGGCCAAGTAAACCAACGAATCTTATGGTGTAAGGAAGTGTTCGAGAAGTTCCTTCCATAATATGAGAATGTGAGATACTCTTTTCATAATTGTGATATATATAGTCTCTGAAACCTGACCATTGATGGAAATGTAATTATCAATAGCCAAAATACGTACAGTAATATGGAATCGATTTACCTACAGACGAGAACGCATTCGCCAATACTACAGTCTACTGACGATATGACATATTGAGACTCTTGAACAATTAGATTTGCTATCCTGAAACATGTTAAAATCCGAGACGAAAAATCAGAACGGCTATTTCCTAAGACAACGATCTCTTGAGTAACTTCCACAGAGTGAAACATTTGAAGGATGAAAATCTACTATTAGTAACGATAATTTGCAAACGTTATGTTTGTAGCTTGTGACTCACATCCTTGAATGACTCGACTTGCTGTGTTAACTACACCCTTGAAATACCTCTCTTGATCGATCTTGAATTACATTCTTTGTGTCAAAATACTAAAACCACGATTCTTCATTAAACCAAAGATGCTTCATGATACCGATCTTTGAAAACTATAGTCTGTGAACTACGTGACTCGATCACAATAGTAAAACTACCCTGACTTGAACATTATGTTAAACCTCTCTAGGGAACTGCTGCGAAACAGTTAATGC